ATTTGTAATTGAGCAAGAATATATAATTATGTTTGCAATGAATAGGTGCCATCCCTAAGAGGGTGTCGAGTAGTATATCACGTAATACTGAGTCTAATGTCTCGACCGGAAGTATAAGTAGTATTCGCGAGAAGTTTGAAAAGTTGTCACAAAATAACAAAACTGGGAAATAAGACATCAAAATATTCTCCAATTAAATGTTATTTAATATATTATTAATTTGATACAGTGTCATTTAGTGCCTTAATATATTTTGAATGATCATATGCTTTATGCAAAAATATAGATATAATTATGAATAAAATGGTGAGAATGCACTCATAAATGGCCATTCATTTTCGTCTCCCGAAGGTATACCTCTTCTCTACCTCTTCTAAATTTTGCCAAAACATTGGACATCAATGGACTGCAAATGCAAACAAATTAACATTTTATTAGTTATTATAAAATCAATTTATTTGAATATAATAAATGACACAATACTCACAGTTTTCTCTTGAAGTAAACGATTAAAGCGATTAGTATTACATTAATAGTGAATGAAATGACAGTCAATACAAGGCATGCATAATAGGAAGCCTTTGTAATACCCGTCTCCTCGACACCCGTAAACACACAGTTATTCCCATCCCATGTGTGGAACGGTAGACAACCGCACGTGTATTGCCTCTCAGTTGTGGACACAAATGATGAACACATTTATTGGTTGCCATCGGTTGGACAGACTTGTGGTAAATGTTCATCGCATTGATATCAACCCCCGATTGGACGACCACTTCGACTGCCGGCGCTTCACTCGTGTCTCTCATATTGACGCGAAGTATTGAATCGTTTCTATTGTCCGTCCAATAGATATAATCCCCGAATATATGGGTCGCCGATAGCGGGCTATCAGTGAACAGACTCAGGGATGAGAGGTGTAGTGTCCGACCGGACCCGTCATACCCGATTGACACGAGTTGGTTCACAGTCTCCCTGTCCACCCAATACACCCTTTTGGCGCTTATGTCGATATTCAGCGAATTCTTGGCCACAAGTGTCGCACCCACGAGAACCTGAACGCCCTGTCCCTGAAGACTTCATGGCAATAAAATAGTTACCAAGGTAACTATAATCAAGTGAAGTTACATATTGATCGCAATTCTGTACGTATTGCGAGTCACTGTAATATAC